TCTTAACACCGGGACGTGTCCCCCTTTCCAAGCCAGACACCCAACGATAATTCCTGCCCCCCAGTCAAGGTTCTCTCCGCTAGTGCCAATTTCTCCGCATGTCGCTGTTTAGACTCAAGATGAAAGGGGTCACATTGTCGAAGGATCCATTGAAGTCGTTCGGGAAGACGTTAGATTGGTAGTCCGACCTAAATGGTCTCCCCCAGAGCTTCCCCACACCCAAGCCATGGATGAATATGTCGGCTTTCCTTTTAGCCTGAATACCATGGTCAACCCCATCCGCTCATCACCGCTGTCGGCCGGTTGCATTGGGAACCCGGGAGCCCTTGGAGACTTCGGACTTGACAAGGCCTGGGTTGTGGGAAAAATGATGTTTTCCTGTTCCTGGTCCTGCGAGTCCCGCAGATTTGGGAATCCCACCCCAAGTGCACCGCTCGCGTGTCGATGAACAAACCAGCGCTTCTTCTTATAAGCTCGCGCACCCCCGATCCCACCATGTAACAGGTCTTTTGGAGCAAGTGCTTCTCTCCAACTGGTTCTTCTCGCCAGCAGCACCTCTTTCCACCGACTGCACGTCATGTGGAAGCTTCTTTTTCTTGCCTCTCTCGGCCTCGTTGCCGCAGAGGACGGCCTCGACGGCTGGTTGCGTTACGCTCGCCTACCAGAGTGCAAGTCTTCCGGCGTCGCCGAATCTCTTCCCTCTACCGTCATCGGCCTCAATGCGACAGAAAATGGCCCAATTGCTTCCGCCTTGTCCGAATTGACCAAGGGCTACCAAGGCATCCTCGGTAAAGACGTCTCTATCGGCCAGGACGCCTGTGCTGCTGCTTCCGTTGTCATTGCTACTGTTGACGACTACGTTGCTGCTTGTGGAAGTGAGGGCATTCAAGCGGACCTCATTGAGGATGGCTTCTGGCTTAGCGTCAAGGGTGATGGTGTCAAGATTCTGGGACAGAACGAGAGGGGTGCTCTCTACGGTACTTTTGAGTACCTGAGCCTGTTGGCCCAGGGCAACTTCACCGAGGTGACTTATGCGACAAACCCTTCTGCTCCTGTCAGATGGGCAAACCAATGGGACAACATGGATGGCACAGGAACTCATGGCAGCATTGAGCGTGGTGTAAGCAATCTTCCCTCCTCCTCATTCTCCTCCTCGGACCATCATTGAATGCGAACATGTCTGACTTGAGTAGTACGGAGGTGTTTCCATCTTCTTCGAGAACCTCAAGGTCGTCACCGACATGACCCGCGTCTCTCAGTACGGCCGTCTGCTGGCGTCCGCCAGAATCAACGGTATCATCGTCAACAACGTCAACGCCAATGCCATCCTCCTCTCCCCCGAGAACATGGACGGGTTGAAGAGGATAGCCGACGCTTTCAGGCCATGGGGTGTTCAGGTGGGCATCTCCCTCAACTTCGCCTCACCCCAGACATACGGCAACCTTTCCACTTTCGACCCCCTCGACGAGACTGTCATTGCCTGGTGGGGAAATATCACCGATGAGCTCTACGCGCGCATTCCCGATATGGCTGGATACCTGGTCAAGGCCAACTCAGAGGGTCAGCCCGGCCCCCTGACCTACAACAGGACGCTGGCAGATGGCGCCAACCTCTTCGCCAAGGAGCTCAAGAATCACGGCTCCAAGAAGGGCATCGTCATGTTCAGGGCCTTTGTCTACGACCATCTCACGCTGAACCAGTCCGATTGGCGCGCTGATCGTGCCAACGCCCAGGTCGAGTTCTTCAAGCACCTCGACGGCCAGTTCGATGACAACGTCATTGTCCAAATCAAGTACGGCGCCATTGACTTCCAGGTCCGGGAGCCCGTGTCGCCCCTGTTTGCCAACTTGAAGAACACAAGCATGGCCATCGAGCTGCAGATCTCCCAGGAGTATCTCGGCCAGCAGGATCACTTGGTCTACCTCCCTCCTCTCTGGAAGACGATCCTCGACTTTGATCTGCGCATTGACGGTCAGCCTTCTGTTGTTAGTGACATTCTTTCTGGCAAGCGCCTTAACAGGCCTCTCGGCGGCTACGCTGGTGTCATCAATGTCGGCGCGAACTCAACATGGCTGGGAAGCCATCTGGCTATGTCCAACCTCTACGCCTACGGCAGACTTGCGTGGAACCCTGCTGACGACGTTGTTGCCATTGTCCAAGACTGGACCCGTCTGACATTCGGTGTTGACCGCAAGATCGTCGACACCATTACCAAGATGTCCATGGAGAGCTGGCCCGCCTACGAGAGCTACAGCGGCAATCTGGGCATCCAGACCTTGACTGATATCCTCTACGCTCACTACGGTCCTAGGTAAGCAAAAATACACCCGTCCTTCTTTTCCCCCATGACTAACTCCAAGTTCAGCCCGCGCAGCCAAGACGGCAACAGTTGGGGTCAGTGGACCAGAGCAGACGGAGACAGCATCGGAATGGACCGTACTGTGAAGAACGGCACGAGGAACGCAGGGCAGTACCCTCCCGAGGTGGCGGCCATGTACGAGGAGATCGAGACGACCCCCGACGACCTGCTCCTCTGGTTCCACCACGTGCCCTATACGCACAAGCTCAAGAGCGGCAAGACGGTCATCCAGCACTTTTACGACGCGCACTACGACGGCTCGGCTACGGCGCAGACATTTGTGCCGCAGTGGGAGTACCTCAAGGGTCTCATCGACGAGGAGCGCTACGAGCACGTGCTGTTCAAGCTCAAGTACCAGGCCGGTCACTCCCTCGTCTGGCGCGATTCCATCAACAATTTTTACTGGAATAAGTCGAGCATCCCCGACGAGGCGGGACGCGTGGGCAACTACAAGTACCGCATCGAGGCCGAGCACATGACGCTTGACGGATACAAGGTCGTCGACGTCGACCCCTTTGAGGCGGCGTCGGGTTACAAGGCCATCGTGACGAGCTCCAACACGACGGCCGGAACGGCATCCGCCACGGTCGAGTTCGAGACCGGAACATACACCCTCGCTGTCAATTACTTTGACGTCATTAGAGGCAAATGCTCGTACGTCGCGTACATCAATGATGTCGTCGTCGGCCATTGGAGGGGTAACAGCGAGGAGAAGTTGGGCCACTGGCCGTCCGAGTTCTTGGATGGACACTCTGCCATCCGCGTCAACTTCCCTGGCATCAAGGTGACCAAGGGCGATACGCTGAAGATTGTCGGTACGCCTGACGGGCCCGAGGTCGCTCCTTTGGACTATGTCAGCTTCTTACCTGATGGTATTATCGACTAGACATGTTGTTGGATTTTTGAGCAAGCAGACATGATTTTGTAGTTAACATTCAAGATTTATGAATTCTTCATGATTATATATTTACATCTCAATCAAATTGTGTACATTTTGGAAAATCTTCTTGGTAACCGCAAACGCATTGTAATGCAAGTGGGTGATCGTGAATTTGTTCTGTGGTTGGCGTGAGTGATGTGAACCCCACAAATTTCATCCGACAAAGGTATCTTGGATTTTGACCTCATCCCCGAAATTTTCATCCAGCCGTCGTCTCTCGAGGGTCAAACCAGCAGCAAGCACCCTTCACAAAGCCAAGTACGTAGCAAGTATCAACGAAGTCCTCATAGCGACCTTGTATGCCGAGTCGGCTTCACGGAATTAAGACCCAACTCTACTTTGTAAGAATTCATCCACTCACTCTTCATCTCACTGAGACTTACACACCCTCTTGGGCCTCACCCAACATGCTGCCCACACCAGATACCTCCCATGTTCCGTTTGAGCGTGTGTACGAGCCAGCAGAGGACTCGTACCTCCTCCTGGATACCCTCTCAGCCTCGTCAGAAACCTCATTCCTCACATCACGCTTTGGCGGCGAAACATCATCATCATCATCAAAGTCAAGACCAGCAGCCCCACTGGTGGTCGAAATCGGCACCGGCTCCGGCGTCGTGATAGCCTTCCTCGCCGCCCACGCAGCAACCCTCTTCGGCACACCCACCGTCCTCACCGCAGGCATCGACCTAAACGGCCACGCCTGCCACGCCACAACCTCCACCGTCCGCCGCGCCGTCGCCGACAACCCGTCCACGGCCTCCCCTCCCTCCCTCTGGCTCGGTGCCTCCCTGGGCGACCTCACGACCCCGCTGCGTCCGGCAAGCGTCGACGTCCTCATCTTCAACCCGCCCTACGTCCCGTCCCCGGAGCTCCCCGCGCAGTCTTCAGCCACGCTCGTCGCGGACGCCGGCACAAAGACGACGTTTGACGAGGATTCGTATCTGCTTTCGCTGTCGTACGCGGGCGGGCGGGACGGTATGGAGACGACGGATCGGTTGATTGAGGCGCTGCCTGGGGTCTTGAGCGCGAGGGGGTGCGCTTACATTCTGCTGTGTGCGCAGAACAAGCCGGACGAGGTCAAGGGCCGGATTGAAGGGTTCGGGGGCGGGTGGAGGGCTGTCACGGTTGGGGAGAGCGGGAAGAAGGCTGGGTGGGAGAAGTTGCAGATCATTAGGGTGTGGAGGGAGACAGAGATGGAGGAACAGTCTACATAGAAACGTAGGACATAGACAGCTCTTGTATCTTGACATCTTGTTGACCTGTGTACTTCTTCATCTCAGTCGCATGCTCGTGCTGGCGAGCCTCATGGCACACTCAGTTGCGAGATCTGTAGTTTCATTTACTGGAATTGTATTCTTTTTATTTCCTAACCACCCTCAACGCCTGAACAGCATCCGGTTGGTCTTGATGTGTAGGGGTGCCCGTCTTTTTTCAAGCTCGAGGCCCGGACTGTAAAATAAAAAAAAAAGTTTCATCGACGGTCCGTCGTCCCTAAGGGGGTTGGGCATAGATATTTCCCCCCTATGAAGAGTTTCTTCATGATTCACGAGCACTATTTCCGTCTTTCTTTCCCTGAGGCAAGCAGGAAACCTTTCTCGGCGCCCATAACAATTGTCGGTGTCGACCCAGTAACAACAGGTGTCGACGGTCGGCCCTCGTCGAAAAAACAGCGTGTCTTCATTTTGTCCCATTAACCCCAGCTCAACCACGTCCGCGACCGCGTCCCCGACCACGGCCTCTTCCTCTGGGGCCGCCTCTTCCTCCGCGGACGGGACCGCCGCGCTCCGCCTCCTTGCGCGCCTTGTTCTTGGGCTTCGGTTGGTCGTCGATGAGCAGTGTGTCGAGAGGCAGCGAGTCGGGCAGGATAAAGTATCGGATCGTCGAGCCGCGGATGTTCATGGTATCGAGCGAGACGGCGTCCTGGCCCCGCGGTGTCATCTTGACTGTGCGCAGCGCCGTGTTCATCTGCGGCGAGACCGAGGTGATGGTGCCGTGAACGATGGTGCCTGTACGCGTCAGTATGCGGTCTAGCAAACGATATGCAGCGCTTTGCGCATTTTTCTAGAGCCGCAGGACAAAATGACAAGAGTCTACTAACCATTCTTGAGTTCGATTGTCACCGTCTCATTGGCGCATTTCATCAAAAATCTAGTTGTTGGAAGTTCTGGTCAGCTTTATTTTGGCCTCGTTTTACGGCGAGCAACCTTCTGCATCTCTGAGAAGGAGGGCTCAGCACACAAATTGACGGCAGAAGGAGGGAAAGGGTAATCAATTGCGCGTACCTGACGAGTTTCATTTTGGCGGCGGCGTTCGTATGTTGAGCGTGTCTTTCGTCAAATGCAAAGACGACTGGATGCGAGACCTCGCGACTGAGGTTGGCAGTTCTGGGTGACGGAAGGCTGAAGCTTCGGAAAAGCTGCTATCCCGTTTCTGGGAAGTGGGTCCACGCTCAAGGTGAGTCTTTAGTCTCAGTCCACGTGACTGGTAGCTTTACTTCTTAACTAGTCAACTTAATGGCGGAAAGTCAAAAGCAAATTACACATTAAAGAGCAGCTATCTCTAAGTCCTCTAATCAACGGATCCAGGATAATGTTCCCGTAACTAAGTCTTTTCCTAATCGTAACGCAGAGAAGGCATCAGCCGAGGCTCAGCACAAACCTCTCCACCATCGGCCCCCATTTTGGAAGCTCCCACTCGTGTCTAGATGCTTGAACACGAGCGCTTGCGATCTGGATGTGTAGGCTATCTATCTTTGTCGCTTCAACTTCAATCGATCCTTCCGCGACAATCCGAACTTGGAGACGTTCTTCGAGAAATGGTACGATCTCATCAGGTTCAAGCCCTGAGATAGTTCTCGCCCAAACCATATGCATCAAGGCCGATGTCAGAGGAACTGTTCCGGACACGTGGTTGCCTGAACCCATGTTCTTCATCGCAAATACGCTCATTGATCCGACGAGATTCGGTGCAGATGCCCAAGAAGGGGCTTCTTCGGGAACTTCACCTAGGAAGAAATGGATTGCAAACGAGCCATGCAATGCTCCATTCTGAACATGAATATTGGCGACCCATTCGGTGTACATGTCGTCCTCAGTCGCTACTTTGGTCTCAAGGTCAGGGTCTTGTGAAAAGTCTAGCACATGCTTTGAAGTAGTTCCCTTTCGAACTTGGGATAGCGGCCCCCCCTTTCTTTTGGACGCTACTCTCCGTTGCTTCCGGGCCAGACCTGAGGGGCTAGATGAGCCGTATAGTCTGTTGATAGTTGCTATGAGGCGAGCTTGTTCCTCAGACTTGTGGATTCCCAGACTCGGGTTCGTTTCTGCGTACGCATATCCGAAGGCCGTAGTGTCTCTGGCCATCGCCGAGTTCCAAAAGGTGCCATTGGCGTCCGCATAGAATGGCTTGAGTTCCGTGAGCCAGTTTTGAACGGTCCCTGACGACATGGTAAAGGAAGGCTCCATTGCGATTTGAGAAGTGACCCAGGCGGTAGGATACAGAACTTGCCACATGGCGACTATTCGTTCCACCATAGCATGGTGCAAGAAGAACACCGGGTCGAATGCCGAATACTGAATGTAATACAGATGGCCGCGGTCGCCCACCAACACGTGCATTGCATCGTGCAAGGCCTCTACTGAGTCGTACTGCGTCTGATTTGACGCCATCCCCCAAAATTTGTTACTAAAGGGTTCAAAGTCCTTGTAATTGGAAAGGAGAGTATAGAGTCGTTGCTGAAGCGCAGGTCTGGCATGCTCAATCGAGTGCGCTATGCTTTGGTTGTCCGTTGTCTCGAAGGGAGCTCTCATTGTCTCTGTCCAATGGGGAAACTTATACTATCAGGATTCTACTCTTTGATCAAGTGGGAGCCACTACTTACATCGCCTTGGGAAAACACCTGCGGGTCCAGCGGCCGGAACTTGTAGCTGTATAATGGGTTGGCAATGGTCTGCCATCCGTTAGGGCCATACACTTGAATTGCAGGCTGCTCGAATTCAGACAAGTAGACGCTTTCTCCGAGCGGCGGTGTAGTAGCCCAGTCCCAGTATGGGATTCGGAAGTCTATCGCAGCGGCTTGGTAGTAAGCTCGTTCCGTGGGGTCTGGGAACCACGAGGCAATCATCTGTATGAGTTGAAAGAGAATTTGCTACTACGATGTTAGTCGTTTTGTGGGTGGCGTCACAACTTCATGGGATCTGACCTCGTACAAAGCAAGATATACGCGATGCCACGATGGGAAGAGAATGGACATGTGGGTGCAGTAGCCCCTTTCTTCGCCTCCCGGTACGCCGGGCACGCCGTTCCAGGGGACGAAAGGGACGCCGTGAATACCTGCTGTATATCAGAAAGCTAATCGACGCGATAGTGACCACTCAGTCTTACCTGCGATCTGATACCACGATAGTTGTTCGCTTTGATTCGTAAACTGAAACATGCTTGAAGCAAGGAGGAAGAGATTCCACTTGAAGGGGTTCTCCTTCAACTCTCTGATATCGGGGCGGTTAGGAATAGTTCCGTTTATGGAAGGCAGCTTGGTAACAATGATTGGATCCTGTGTCTGGCGCTTGACCACTTTGGCCGCTTCGAAGCCATAGTCGTAGGCCGGGGGAGAGGGTATGGCCGCTGCGGCGGTAGCGAGGAACACAAGAGATAGAAGCATGGCGCAACGAAACGCCTTTCCTGCGTCCCCTTTGCTGCAGTCGGCTAGGTTAAAGCCAAGAGTATGAGAAGGTTGACAAGGACGATGAATATTAGTGTTCTCGTAGGATGGTGCTGAGACGTGGTAGATGTCAGAGGGTCGAAGTATGGGCTGTCGAGGTCGATCAAAACTTCGGCACAGCCAGGTTGCCTTGAATAAGGGAATCAGGTGTGATGATGACAGCAAGATGAGCGTGTTCAAAATTCCGGGATTGTTTGGATGTTGATGAGTGCCAGACTCGACGTCCAAGTTGTGGTGGAGATAGCCTGGCCAAAAGGAATTTTGAAAAGGACGGACCGAAGGACATTTCCGTGCCAATTTAGTGCAATTTGGACTGAAGCACACTTTAAGGTAGTCACGGAAGGCAAACAGGATGCGAGTGGCACGCCGCATAGCCGTGGTGGTATGGTGCTTGCGTCATTGAGTTCCTGGTTTCCAACCGCAATCTCTAGATTTGGGAACAGAGTCATTCAGGAAGGTGTCGGGACGAGGTACCTCTGCACGACGTAATCCGAAGCTATTAGGGGAAAGAGAGACGTGACAACCTAGGTACTGGTGAGAGAAGAAGACTGAGGCGGAAGGCACAGGTTTTCGCCCTTGGTATCTTCCTGCCACAAAACGTGCCGTGCCTTCTTGACCAACTACAGTAATGTGATATGGCGTACCTTCTCCCAAAGCTCCAAGAAACATCACTATCGTACCTTGTGTAAATTGCTATCCAATCAAGGACTGGTTGAAGGGTATCTCACATTGATAGCTGAGAAGCAGGGCGCGGTGACACGTCAAGCCAGGTGGAACTGTTCAGACAGAGCAGGAACTCTCAGAACTGATGTCTTTAGGTGGACGAAGCCTGATCGGTATGAAGATTTCACTGACTCAATCTCAAACATCTTGGTTTCCCACGGCGGCTCATGGCATTTCTATATCAAGCCACCCTGAAGGTGAGCTACAACAGCTTCTGTCTTACCTCGGTTTTGGAAAGACCACGAGAAACCACAATCAACAACTTTGGATACCACGAGGCTTCTCAGGTACGTCATGAGTTTGGTCAGCCAAATTTGCGCCATCGTTGACGGAGACGCAGAGAAATCTCTCAGATCTTTGCCGCCAATCGACGGTCAGACTCTGCACAAGGCGGCTGCCGACATTGTGTGTACGATGTGCGTCCAAATGACTGTTTGTTGATTCGGTAACCTGCATGAGACAAACGGTTCAGCATCTGATTGTAACCGCTCTACACATGTTGATGTTACGTAGTCCACGCTCACCATCTATGTCGATTGTCAAACCCCTTCGGAGTTCGGCTTGGAGTCTTGAACGCGAAGCTGAGACTTGATTTAGGGGTTGAATCCAAACATGAAATATTGATAGGGAAACCCATCACTACTCGGCGAGATCCACTCTGACCAGCATTGTGAACCTTTGTCCATTAAGAAGTCATAATGTATGTACAAGGTGGAATACATCTTTTGTCTACCGAAACGCCGTCGATCTAAGCCTCTAAGGTAATGATTTCATGGGCTTCAAAGGGCCCTTGCGAGGCGCATCCTTGGAGTCGATGCGGTACTTCAGCTTGACACCCATAGCTGCCAACTCCACGTCTAGGAACTTGAGCGCACCCGGAACAACGACAACCGTCGTGTTCTCGCCTCCGACCCACTGGTTGCCCTGGCCATCCTCCCAGATCTCTCCCTCTACCTTGGCGGCGCTCTCCGCGTCGCCGGCGTCGAGGCGGGTTGCGCAGTTTCTGCAACGCACTGTCGTGACTTGCTTCTTCTTACCCACAAAAGGTGACACGGTTGGTTGGACTGAGAGGAACGAACCACAGCTTCGGCAGATCCAGGATCGCGTGTAATCGGAACAGTTGAGCAGACGATCCTGCAGCAGGAAGGCCGTACCGTGAGCGAGCAGCGCGTCACGCTCCATCTCTCCCACACGAATACCACCACCACGCTTTCTACCCTTGATGGGCTGGCCGGTTGTCGGTACGACTGGTCCCGTCGTTCGCACTTGGTACTTGTCGTTGACCATGTGACGCAGACGCTGGTAGTAGACGACACCAACGTAAATGTCGGCGGCCAGTTCCTCTCCCGTGATACCAGAGTACATGGGCTCGTTGCCATGGTAATTGTACCCGGCCTTCATCAGCTGATGACCAAAGTAGTCACCGGCGGTGTTCTCCTCGTTGAACTTGAAGGGCGTGCAGTCTTGTGCCAATCCGTGGAGCGCGCCAGCCTTTCCAGCCAGTGACTCGACGAACATACCGATTGTCATACGAGAAGGGAAAGCGTGAGGGTTGATGATAATATCGGGTTGGATACCAGATTCTGAGAAAGGCATATCGACAGCAGGCCATTTCTGGGAAGCGACACCCTTCTGTCCGTGGCGAGAAGAGAACTTGTCACCGATGACCGGGGATCGGGGAACTCTGAGCTTGATGGAGATCGTCTGGGCAGGCTCATTACCCGACTCGCTACCGAGCACACGTACTTCCTCGACAAATGCAGTCTCAGACTCCTTGTACTTTTCATAGTGTGTCTGTCCGTCCAGGTTGATCAGCTTGCCGCTGTAGTCTGCTGACACCGTGTGCCATGCGCAGAGTACATCTCCTTCTTGGACCATGCGTCCAACGTAGGGCAATCCGTCCTCATCAAGCAAGCCACGATAGAATCCCTTGACAAAACCGCCGGGGGCGAAACCGAAGAGCTTGGTGATATTCTTGGTGGCTCGCGTTCTCTGTTCTTCCTTCAGCGTGACCTTCTTCGTCTTGTAGATGGTACCGTGTCCGAATCCTCTTTCGTGTGCCGACTTGTTCAAAATCATGGCGTCGTCCATGTCGTAGCCAGTGTATGAGATAACCGCTACAACGGCGTTGAAGCCGTTGGGGAAGTTGTCGAATCCATAAGCGTTGTGTAGAGGCGATCGTACCACCGGTGTCTGGCCACTCTGAATTCTGTACATCTTGTTGTCCGTGCGGTGCCGAAGAGCCGTTGCCGGTGTTCCCATGGTTTGCTTACCCATCTGACATTGGTACATGTTTCTGGGGGACTGGTTGAAGTCTGAGAAGGGCGTCATGTTGGCAAGAATGGAGAGCATGTTGGTAGGAGTTTCTTCCACGTGCGTCGACTCGCCTGACACGATTTCGTTCTCAACAACGGCGATAGACATGTAGGGTTGCTCGTAAGGCCCCACAAAGTCCACCTTATCAAGAGGAAGATACTTCACGGGTCTGACCATACGCGCAGGCGCAGAAGACAAGTAGATACCAGGGTATGAACCGCCGTTTGAAGGCGGGACGTATCCAATTTCCAGTTGGAGAGGAACGCCGTGAGTGCCCTCCACCTTCCAGAAACGGAGAGTGTCTGCAATTCTGAGAGATTCGCGAGGTGTGCAGAAGCCGATGAGCTTGCCATCAAGCATGATGACAACGCTTTCATCTGTAGCCGCAGAAGACGTCTCCACAGCTCCCAACTCCGCCACAAGGCCAGGGATCTTGGAGGCGTCGACGGACTCGGTCATGATCTTACACTTGTGAGCCAGATGGTTAAGCAAACCGCAAGGCGAACCATCAGGAGTGTGTACGGGGCACAGAAAACCCCAAGACTCGGGCAACAGCTTTCGGACCGTTGTCGTCTTCAACTCGGCGAAGAAGGCACCTCTGTGAATCATTCGGAAGTGACTGATGAAACGGAGAAAGTTGAGCTTTTCCGCAACAACTGTGAAACCGGCTGTCTGTTGCAAATCAAGACCAGAAGGACTGGTCAGATTACCTGTGGAAAGGAAATATTCCAGGCCGTTTCCAAGGTTCTCATTGGCGTGTCTGAAGATATTGGCAGGGAACTCCTTGGCGAAGTCCTGCGATGTGAAGGGGGTGGCCGGGTGCTTTCTGGTCCATTCGCGGAGAGACAATCTGACAGCAGTCGACAGGAACTCTTCAAGGCGCTCCTTGATGATCATGCCGTACAGGAAACCGCCAAGAAGGACCTCCTGGTTTTGGACAGCATCAGGGTTGTCGACGGCGCAGTCGCCTGCCACGAGAGCATACAGCTTTCTGATCATGAACAACAGCATCTTGAACTTATCGTTGTCCTGCTTCTCGGTGACGTTGATGTTACCAAGGTGAACAAGAACAACCTTGCGCAGGAACTCGGTGCCGACATCGTAGTTGGACATGGTGTCGGGTACACCCATCACCACGCGGAACTTCTCTCCCAGGTAGGCTCTCGTCTCGGTCTTGCTGTAGAGTCCGTATGACTTGTAGGTTCGGAGCAGCAGCTCGACACGGTCCGTCAAGAAACTGTTCTTGGCCGACTTCGTGTTGGAGAGACCAATCAGTCCTTCGAAGATGTCGCGATCGTTTGTGTCGACGAGAGCCTTAAGGACCATCATGACCGGTACAAGGTACTCGTTCTTCTTCCAGGAGAAGCGGAACGTCATGTTTCCGTCACTCAGGTAGTGCAAAACGTTGGTCTGAGATGTCTCATCAGGTCTGACGGATCGGACGATGATACCATACGGGGTGTAGCCTTGGCCTCGGTTTTGGAAACTCGGTCGGTTGATCGCCATGGGGAAATTCCTTCGGTTGACTTGCAGCAGTCGAATAATCTTTTCGATACCGTTGACGATAAAGTAACCGCCCAGCTCTTCGGATTCCTCCTTTCTTTGCACCAACTGAGCCGGAGAGTTGCCCTCCAAGTGACATCTGTTGGACTGCCAATCCCCCATTAGCACCCCGCCGTCAGGTTTGCAATTGGTGTACAAAAGCACTTACCTTGACCATAATTGGCACCTGTCCAAGCTCGCGCACAAATTCTTTCGGATCACCACCATTGACCCTGTACTCGAAGGTGGCGGATAGCCTGCCTCGGTACGTCGAATGACGCTCTCTGCATTCGGAGGGCAGGATTTCACGATTCCTGGCGAACTTGTTGGAGGGGGGTAGCTGGGACTTTTGCAGCGCT